AGTTAGGCTGAATGCATTAACATTTAATGATTTGAAATGGTATTGTAGTTTTGATTTTTTTGCTCGTCTCTTTTCCAGATTATGGATCATTTACAGATGTTGAAATCACTATGTAGACTTAGTGGGAAAGCCATTCCTAATGACAGAAGGCCTAAAAACATTTTAGAGGGATACAACATGCTCTTAACATCAATGTTAAAGAAGATGACAACACTGTCTATCCCCCTCACTTATGCAAGGCCTGTGATGCGAAACTTGGTCGCTATAATAGTAAAAGAAACCGGCATATAAAGGTTGAACTAAATATTATTCCTCACATTTTTCTGGAACATACAATAGACTGATCGACCCCCAAACTAAAGGAAATAAGTTTTTTATCCGACATCGACATCGATCTTTTGACGTCATCCCTTACAGTGACAGTGATCTGTCTGCATTAACAAAAACCATCTTTTTATTTTCAGAGTGCACATGGTAGTGGGTTATTGTGATCTTCCAAAGTTAACCCTGCCTCTTTCAATTTTTTCCTGGTAACTACATTAGCTGACGAAAGCATGATGGATTGTGCACCACCAGAGAAGAAACGTCGACTGGATACAGACAAATGTATAATTTGCTTCAAGGCGCTCAGCAAATTGAAGGCCAGATATAAGATAGTGAAAAATCCAACCCCAGAAGGTATTTTAAAAATACTAAAGATTGCACATGCACGTAGAGATGATGTATTTGAAGCTCTATCACCAGTGGAAGATCAACTTCGATCAAATAGTCTGAAAGTGTCATTCCACAAGTCGTGTAGAGCAGCATATACCAGTTCATCAAACAATTATATGTACATGATGGACAATCCATCTGGAAGCTCAACCAAGTCCGGATCTTCTTCAACATCTGAGACACAGTCATTACGTAAAAGTAGCAGAACTGAAACTTCTGGGTTTGACATACGAAGTGACTGTTTCATTTGTGGTAAAAGTAATCTATACAAGGAACGTCTGACACAAATTCAGACAGGCACTGGCAAGAGTACAAGAGAAAAAGTGTTAACTGCATCAGAAAAACGGAAGGATTACGTTGTTTATCACCGTATGCTGACAAATCTTGATTTGTTTGCAGCAGATGCAAAATATCACAGAACCTGCTATCAAAGCTATATCAGTACCAGGAATATTTCTGCTGCCCAGAGAAAATTTGTACAGCCTGACCAGACAGCCTTTGACAAAGCTTTCAACATTGTGGTGGATTCTTTGCAAAAAACAGTACTGTCCAAGGATATGGCAGTCACCAATTTGGCACACATCAGAACAGAGTATGTTAAAAAGCTGGCGGAATTTGAAATAGAGGATCCACAGAACTACTCATCGTGGAAGCTGAAACAACGACTTGTGAATCATTTTGCCGGGTAGCTCGTCTTCATTGAAAGGCCTGGACGCTCTGACTTGGTTTGTTCAAATAATATGACAGTAGGTGATGCTCTACAGAAGGAGTCATATATAGACAATAGCCACATGGACATTGAACTTGAGGATATGGGTACTTAGCCTACTCAATTAGATGATAAACACGTGTTACATATGGCAGCTTATATACTGCGAGAGAGCATGGCTGGTATTAAGGACGAGGACACATACACATCCAGTATGGGTATCAATGTTGAACACTGTAGTGAGTATGTCCCTATGTGGTATGTAAAAGAAAGTGCGTTCAAGAATGTTTCCAGCTGCTGTGATTAAGGACAAGACAAAAATGATCTCAAAATAATTTCTATTTGTCATACTCTGATTAACCAGTGATTAAGCAGGTTCGCACACCCATTGCACTTGCACTTGGTATTCATATTCACCACAACTTTGGAAGCAAAACTTTCATACAGGAACTGCATTCCCTAGGATACTGTGTATCCTATGATGAAATTAGACTATTTCTCACATCTGTTGCACTTGATCAAAAACATGAAAGAGAATTCATACTTGTTGATGCTGCAATTGATAACTTCGATCAAAACGAAGACACTCTTGATGGCAAGTCTACAACTCATGCCATGGCAGCTGTAGTATATAAGAGATGTCCTGTTGATCCATCTGAGTGTCGAGTGCCTAGAGTACCACAGAAGTCGCTGTCATCTGTACAAGCTTTCAATATGAATGATGCATTATTGAGGTACAATACACCATCAAGGTGCCCTGAACCTCCAGATGTACAAAAATTATCAGACACCGATGTGCAGAGAACAGCAGCAAGCTACACAGATGCCGAGAAAAGAGACCTACTGTGGAATTTGGAACGTCTTCACAAAGCCGATGATGCACAACAAATGATCCCTGCTTGGACAGGTTTCAATTCAACCCTATCTGACAGAAACTTGCCAACAACAACAATACGTTATATGCCATTTATCCGAGCACCACCATCTAACCATATACACGATCCTCAACAAGTTAGTTAAGATGTCAACGAAGACTGGTCAGTCACACATGCTGATTACTGCTGACATGGCAATTTACAGTAAAGCCCAACAAATCTTGTGGAAGAAACCACCAACACTGGATGGACCATGCGAGTTGGTGGGATGCACACATCCATGGCCATGTTAGCTTCCTTGGGAAAGCTGTATGGTAGTCCAGAGTGACAGCAAACCCCCACTGAGTCTTAACACATATGCTGAAGCCACAGCCAGACAAATGCTGCAAGGTAACCAAGTTGCCCGTGGAATTCGCGGGGTAAAGATTGTTTCAGAGTATTCTATGCATCTTTCCAGGTCTGGTTAGAAAAGTCAAATCGCAATCCAGTAGATGACACTTTAGAACAAACTATTAATAAAGAAGGTAAGAGTCGGGGGGGCATTATTGAACCCACCCTGCGAAAAGATGCACTTAATTGCTGGCTTCAGACTTGACATGTGACAGCTGATTTTCCGATGCCTTCAGAAACATGTGCTATCAAACATCAGACAAAAGGATCCATGGGGATCTAGAAAGAAGCAGGATGTCAAAGGATGAGTCTGATGTAGCAAATGTTGTTGATATTTTAAATCAGAATCAAAATCCCTTTGATTTGGATACTGTTCCTTCCATGCTCATCAATATTATAACTGGCCAAGTAGCTTCAGCAGAGGTGACACAGAGTCTCAGTAATTTCTTAGAGTTGGGACAAAACAAGCACACAGATTTCATGAAAAGAAAATTAGTGGAAGGTACCAGATCGACCAGTTTTGGGGATCCAGAAACCCGTACTAAGGTACTAACGTTTGCAGACATGCATAAATCACTGCAAGCTGATGATGGATTCTGAAGTTCTCTTTAGACAGCTTCTGGCAGTATCCAAACAACGTGACGTGTATTTTCAGACAGGATTACAACATGAACTAGCGGCAGTACCCCCTTCATTGTTCCATGATGATGGCAACATGCGAAAATGCACCAAGGCCGACCTTGCCAAGAAGTTAGAGTTACATATTCATGACGTGCAAGACTTACCCCAAATTAAAGGATCTACAATCTACATATTTGATGGAATGGCATTGCTACAGGGTCAGCATGAGTCTCAGTTCCGCACATTTGAAGACCTGGCTCAGCTACTGCTACAGAGAGTTATACTCCTTGTGAATGGTCGAATTGGAGTAGTGGACATTGTGCTTGTGTTTGATCGTTATGATGCCCCAAACTCCATCAAGCGTCAGGAAAGAGTATGACGTGGTGCTGTTGAAGCGGCTAGTCATATTATCACAGCTAGCCGAGTTGTGCCACATTACTGAAACTTCTTGAAAAATACCAGCAACAAAGCAGCACTTGCAGCTTATATTTGCAAGTATTTTATGGAAAAAGCCCCTGCAATGTTAACAGGAAACCAGAGCATTACCCTGGCTGGTGGTTTCACTGATGGAAAGCAAGCCAAAATGATCATTAAAAACCAGACTACAGATCTAGAGAACCTGTTGTGTACACAGGAGGAAGCAGACACAAGAATGTTGCTGCATGCTGTTGATATATCAGAGTCAAATCATAGAATTGTTATTCGTGCAGACGATACAGATGTACTGGTTCTTTTGGTCTACTATTATAGTAAGGTTCAGCTGTCCGCTTTGGTCTATATGCATGCGGGTCATACAAACAAAGAACGTTTCATACCAGTACATGAAATATGTGACAAACTTGGCCCCGAGGTGTCTCAAGCATTGCAAGCTGCTCATGCACTAACTGCTTGTGACACAGTATCAAGTCTGTATAAATTTGTATAAATATATGTGTTGTTTATTTGCGAACATTGGCGCTATACTAAATAAATTACAGTCATTTACAAGTCTCTTTCTATCATATTTATTTATGCATATCAGTATGATTACACGATTACATAGTAATAATAAATGTATATGCTAACAAAATATAGTCCTATTCAGTGCTGCATGGCAGTAGTAATCATGTAGACCACTGTATGGTAACATCTCCCCCATTTGAACTGAACATGAAATTCATTCATATCAATGTCACTGGTGGTGGTGGTGTACGTTCAGACAAGGGAAGGGCACACCCTGAAAAAGATGTGTGGGGTCCGTGTATCAAATGTGGAATGACAACCTCTAATCGGTGGTACCATGTTGTTGATAAGCCAAAGAGCTTTTATTTCCCGAGAAATTCACGTTTTTGTAATGCGTGTCGTCTTGCATTAGAAAAACAGTACAGGGAAAAAGATACACAAACACAGAAGCAGCAAGTGCGTTCAAGACTGTAGATGTACCATGTTTTGTTTGTGCAAGTCGTAGTGCTCATTTAACTAACGTAACCGATAAAACCTTTTTATCACTGTTTTTAACCTCCACACCAGTGAGGAAGTCTTTCCTCATTCAATACCTGATAGCACCCATCTTTGTGTAAAGCACTATAATCAGTGGATGGAAAAAAATAAGGTTTTCTGTTCAATGCCAGAATGTAAAAAACGTATTACTGGTAGCTCATCTACTAGATTTCCACCCAACTTGGATTTGATTAATAGTTGTTTTGAAGATCATGGAGATACCTATCCAAGGTAGAGGGAAGAGTAGCCTTTTACACCAAAGGCTTCAAAACAAAGTATGTAAATGTAGAAAACAGCAGCATTCTTGTGGTCCAGGATGTTTATGTTTAAATTTTGTAAATACTGGGAATGGTGAAATAGAACTAGATGATCTTCATGAAATAATTGCAGATGAACTCCTGGAAGTACAACAAGAATCAAATGATGAACGCAATTTTGAATTTGAGAAGACTGAAGACATTGATGAGTATGACCTGTCTGAAGATAATGTAGTGGAGATGTTTGAAGCAGATGAAGTTGAAAAATATCCATGCTGGATGATGTCACATCTTTCCGAAAACCGTCGCGACGCGACAGGGTGTATTAATTGTTCAGTGAAAATAAAATCTAGAGAATATACCTTTTTTACTATATTTTAAATTCAACTTGTCAAAAATCAGTGAAAATAAATTCCATACAAAACACCCAAAAAGTCTTTTCAGTGAAAATTAATTCCAGCTAAAATAAAGTATTTTACAGTAACATTTGTCGTGTATGTTATATAGAGAATAAACGACGCCTAGGAAATTGGTGTAGAAGATCGTGCTGCGGTATTACTTAGTTTTGTCTAATGTAAAACAACGCATACGTGAGTCAATTGATCCACTAACAGTTACCCAAAGGTTAAATGAATAACTAACCCTAAAACCGATCTGTTAATTGACTTGCCAAGTAGGTCAAGGAACCTGTAATATATATGCGGTGTTCCCCAGACCGAATTGTGAGAACATACGACGCTATAAACATGTGGTGTTTTATCACGCATTGATGATGAACTGATAAGAACGACATACACCAAGTACACGTGTTGTAACATACATATTTGTTCCTGAGTTAAGGTAAGAGCTCTCTCCAACTTCTTCGTTTGTAATACGTTTACTTCTGTATATTGCATTGCAATGCTGTGACAACCTTAGAAAATCTGAGGGCATATGCTGGCTCTGTTTGTAGCTGTGAGTCGTGTATCGGGAGATATTGTTACGATTATACGAGTAAAATTTGTATATAAATGCATTGTATTTTAGACTTCAGAATGAGATTGGTAATCACCGTATTATTTGTCCACGTGTTCATCTCGGCTTTGAGGTCTGATGGAAGCGACATGTCTGGTGAGACCAGGGATGGACTTATAAATGATCATGTCACAGATTTTGATATAATACTTGGAAAGGAGGTAGTTATATCCAATATCAACTATATGGACGAGCTGTATTCAACCCTTTCACAAATCGTATTTAATAGAAAAATTATTATTGTTTTCATGAGAATTGGAAACAAGCGCCGTATGTTTGTACTTCCAGTAATCTATACAGAGCATTACATGTTATTAGTATATCTGTACAGTTAGAAAATAAATGTAAAAGCATGTCTCCATGAGACCGAATTCGAGCAGCTGTTCTTCCTCCCACCAGGCATTTGCAGATCAACGGAAATCGCATTTCAAGTGTTTTCTGTGCTGATGCGCCCTCTTTGACCAAATATGCTACGCCTTTGTTTACAGACGTCCGATGTTTTGAACAAATCGCAAGTTAAAAATAGACTCGAAAAGCTCTTTCGTAAGATCGATGTAAACCAAGACAAACGAGTCACAGTAGGTAAGATAAACTTTATTATATTGTACAATTTTCACGACAGAATTGGGGTGTAGGAATTATAGTGTTTGATTCTTAACAGACGAGTTGACGGACTGGATCTACTCTGCAATAATGGCAACGTTTTGGGAAGAAACGAAAAGAACGTTGGAACTCGTAGACGCTGATGGCGATGGTATGGTTTCATGGAACGAGTCTTTAATATTTTATTTCGGTGAATCTGAAGATGAAGACGACAGGCGATATCGATATGATTACTACAGTCAAGTAAGTCAAATTTTATATGATTCTGCGAATAATAATGATAACTGTTTTGTGTTTGTAGAACCACCAAATTATTTATATTACATAGAGTGAGTGTTTCGGTTTGATTAGATCAAGTGTGGTAAAATAAAATAAAATATTACGTTAAAAGGCGGCAGTCGTCGCGCTGCGCATGTGCGACATTTGTGTTGATAAACTTTGATTTTCCCACAATCCAATGCGCTCTTCTAATGGAATCACAAATATGAGGTTTGACCTCGGCGCGACTTGCACTAATTGCCGCCGGTGATTCTTTCGATACCTTCCAATCACCTGAAAAAATACCTAATTAAACCTTGGTTTCAGTTTGTACACGTTGATCTGCGCAACAGTCAAAGTCGCAATCTTTGTTTATAAGATACCTATATATCTCGCGCATGCATGGTGCGACGACTACCACCCTTTAAGCGGTGGAGTCCTGCTGAACCACCAGTATTAATGGTTATCGCCGCAGTAATTGGCTAAGATACTACCCAACCAGTCCCAATGTAGAAATAATTCACGAAAGACTTTGAAAACCTGGTACTACTCATACATACGTCCAGAAATTACAATAATATTTACTTTGACATGAATTATTTACATTATCCACCAGGCAGTGATTGTATGTCACTGAACGTTCTGGAAATCAAGGAGGAATAAGACTTTCTAAAAGAAATCTGAATATCCGCAAAAAATTAGTACGTGTTTAATATTAACTTGGCGAAAATATTAAAATGAGCTACTTGTCGTCTCTGACACAGGTGTGCTTTGTTTTCATCGTCTTTTTGCATGGAAATCATCAATATTTATGCGATGGTGTGTTTAATTCAAATAAAAAAAAATCGTACCGCCGAAATGTAAGTCCATACTGATACCGTCGTGTATGTAATTTCCGGGGTGCCGTGCATGCTGATATCGCAGTGTATGTAGTTTCCGGGGTGCCGTGCATGCCGATATCGCAGTGTATGTAGTTTCCGGGGTGCCGTGCATGCCGATATCGCAATGTATGTAGTTTCCGGGGTGCTGTGCATGCCGATATTCGCAATGTATGTAGTTTCCTGGGTGCCGTACGCGTGCATGCCGATATCGCAATATATGTAGTTTCCGGGGTGCCGTGCATGCCGATATCGCAGTGTATGTAGTTTCCGGGGTGTTGTGCATGCCGATATCGCAGTGTATGTAGTTTCCGGGGTGCCGTGCATGCCGACATCGCAGTTTAAAAACATTATACATTTCTTGATTCAGGAGATTGAACAAGACCAACTTCGTTTTGACTTAGCAGACGACAACAATGATGGATCGCTGACCGTGGATGAATTCTTTGCTTTTCTTCATCCTGAATTATATAACCACATGAAGGTATGTATTCTCATATACGTTGGTGATATTTGTTCATGTAACCAGGTAGGTGAATATTCTTTAAAACAATGATTTTTCTTCATCACACAACTTCGAGTGCAAATACTCTGATACGTACGTCATAGTATATCACTATTTTATTAAGTCTTTGCACTGTACGTTTCTTTTCACAACCACTGGTGTAGTATTAAGTAGTAAGAGGGTCGGACAACAGATCAGATTCAACATGTGGTTCATCCAATATGGTGACCTCATTAACATAACTTTACAGACAAGTGAATATTGATAGCTTACCACAAGAGGGCGGCATACACATATATTATTATGTATATCTAATGCTTAATCCTACAACTGGTTCTACCCATACTTTGATTTTACCACTCACATGAAAATTTTCAAATGTGTTTTTGAATGAATGGATGTGGTATACAGTCCTTGAGATTAAAATGTAACTACCATCAATTATAACATAAATACGTGTACATGAATGGATCTAAACGAGTAGATGCTATTCAACGCCATAATTGTAACATTTCAACTATGACCTACTTTATAATGCTTTATTTAGGATCTAATCACATGGAAATTTTTTGCTGATTTTGATAAAGATAAAGATGGTGGCGTTTCATTATTAGAGTACATTCCTCCAAATCCATTGCCTGACGAGGAAGAAGATATCGATAATGATGGAGGTAAGATAGCAATCATCCGGATATTTCACTAAGAAATAGGTACTTCATCAAATCGGCCATTTTTATTACCTATTTTGTCTTCAAAATTATGGTAATTAAAATGGTCTATCACACCACTACTTTTTAATCTGAACAAGTCATTGTGAATGTCATAAACTGACACGCATGTGCAGTGATTATTAGTGTACGTACCAAAACCAGTGCACATGCTTCGAAAAAAACATGACGTGACGGGCCCGGTTGTGGTTATAATTCAGCATCACGCTGTATACGTTTTTCATACAACAAAACTGAAAAAAGACAAATGAGTTGTTGTTGAATTATCCCAAATACATTGAGATGCAAGGTTTTTGTATTTGTTATAAAAGATGTTAACAGCTGTATGCACAAAAAGGTAGAATGATAGTCACGCTATTATATGTTATACTTTAAATGAAATTGTGTCTAAACCCATATTGCATTACATAATTCGCAGATAACTTTAACCTACATATTGTTTTAAATATAACCTGTTTTCAGAACCACGCTGGGTCGGCAAAGCCAAGGCACGTTTTGCTATGATAGACAGCAACAAAAATGGTATACTGGAAGTGCCAGAAGCATTGGCGGTCTTGATGCCCGACTATCATCGTGCTGCAAACAGCGAGGTATACACACTGCATGTTTCGTATTGACAAAACTTAATCACAACATAATTTAGGATAATGCTTGTTAATTCTCAGCGAAAGGCTCCATTTTGTTATTCGACACATTTTACTAGATGTGTCAAAGACACCTAATAAAATAGTGGTTAATACAGCTATAACGAACAACTGACACTATTTATGTATATGTCACGTGATACCTTGCCCGACTACGTCATATTAGGCACGTATGGCATTCATATTCACGAGTAGTTTGGTAGTCTGCTTAGTTCATAAAGCGATTTCTTTATATGCTGAGTAACAGCGCCTCTTGCGGTCAACCTATTATTTCACTTGTTTTGTTTTTGTTTTTTTTAGTTATAGCTACTATAAATATTTCACAACGTATAAAACAGAGTAACAAAGTGATCACTGTATCACGTCACATCATCCGTATTTGTACTTGTTTCCTTTTTTCGCCTCTTGCTCAAAAAATTCAAATGAAAGAACACTGCTATTTGTTGGTATAATAGAAATGTTTCAATGAAAATCTTACACCAGGATAAATTTCAAAAAAAAACTTGACTATGTATAAACTGCAATTAAATTTGTTTATCTTTACTACATCGTCGAACATCCATTAGAATCTGCGTCCAAGATTAAAATTTGTAGTACTCTTCAATAGTACATGAGAACATGTTCTTTGGGGGCTGCATTAATGTACTCATAAGCAAGATATCGCAATGTTACACTTCTAAATATTTAAAAACATTGTGGATCTCCATTTTTTGCAAATGTTTTAATGCATTATTAAAACACATTTTAACTCTATAATAAAATCAGCTTAAACAAGTCATTGAAAATGATACAGTCCCCGTTAAATGTTTGAACGTTCTCTTTGTGCTCGTCATATTAAAGCGGAGGGGTTGTCGCAAGCTGGTCCTTGAAACTTGAGTTCCAAGTGGCATATACAACAGATTGTTTATTTACATTAAAACACGTGTTCCATGTAGTAGTAATATGGCCAAAAATAAAAACAGCCGTTATTCGGCCATCTTTGATCTGATTATGAAACACACTGATACGTATGATGTATGTGCCAAATATGAATGAAAATGGTACATAAATTGTGGAAATATAGTAGTAAGGCCAAAAAGTCAGATGGCTGTCAATCGGCAATCCTTGACCAGATTTTGAAACAAATTGTCATGGACATGCATCCTAACATGTATATAAAGTACATGTATGTGCCAAATTTGAAGGAAAACTGACAGAGCATGTCCAAGATACCGCTTAAAAAAACAACAAGATGCCTGCCAGTCGACCATCTTTGATCCAATTGCGAAATAAATCGTCATGGACATGTATCCTAACATGTATAATCAAGTACCAAGTTTAAATGAAAACTGACAAAGCATGTCCAAAATACAACATTTTCAAAAACAAGATGGCTGCCAGTCGGCCATTTTGAATCGAATCGCTAAACCACTGCATGTGCATATGTTCCACATAAAGTACTAGGCACATGCAAAGAATGAACGGAATTGGTCCAAGGGATTCTGAGATATGACTCCGGACGGACGCACGGACGCACAGGAACTAATAATCTGTGTACTTCCATTCTCGTTTTTTTTTGTTCAACCATTAAATATGGATGTATTTGTAGCAGTTCAGTTATGTTTTCAAACTCCTGAAGTATCATTTGAGATTCCCACCCAAGTATATTTTCCGTACAGTAACGTAAAATAGATAACTGGGAAATTCAATTACTTGGTAGTGAATATTATGTTATTTTGGAAGATATGTAGTTTTGACTTATTGAAACGGTATCTTTAATGTACTTCTATTAACTGTACACAAGTTAGGAAGGTCATGTGATCCTATGAATATGCATAAATACTATACTATACTACTATTATGTATTTACATAACATGGAACGGGTTCAAACGTTACAGGTCCAGACGAGTATGCTGCATTAAATAATCCCAATTTATAATACCTATGTCTTCATTTCACAGGCCAGAAGAATAATGAAGAATGTTGACGAAAATGAGGATGGCAAAATGAGTTTGAAAGAAGTTAAAAAACACTACAAGGTGTTTACAGAGAACGAACATGTTGATTTTAACTCTCAGATACGGAGAATTAGAGATGAACTTTGACCATTGTCCAAGGTTTTTATAATTTTTAAATAAAAACAGATTGTCCCATACACATACACAAATCTTATTATTTTGTAATGTATTGCCTCCAGGGCAAATTAATTTTTGAATTTTATCATTAATGTATAATATTATTAATGTGCATAACACGTTATCTGGGGAGGTGGGTAAACAGCTGAAGATATATTAGTGTTCAGTAATCGCCAATCAAAACATCGGAAAAAACAGCAGTTATTCAATATTGAGGACATTCAATTTTAATCGAAATTAATTAGCTGAATTTCTTGTTTGTTTAACGTGTACCTATGATGGAAGCTTGAACTTCTTAGCTACGCGGAAAAATTAGAAAAACAAACTATATTCCTAGAACCTTATTTTTATATAAACACAAATCATATATATTTGACTCCCATTTGTTGTGTTTACATTGCATGTATGTTGTTTCCTACGCTGTGATGACTTAAGTTTTGCACCGACCCTCATTATTAAATAATTTATATTAATATCTAATCGAATTTAAGTTTGTGTAGCTTAGGTTTAGTAAAGGGGGGAGGTATGGTTCAATTTATTAAGTTAATTAATTGTGTGTCGTTACAAGGACCGTAAGACTGTATGTGTGTGTGTGTGTGTGTGTGTGATTCCTTGAAAAGGCTTCACTATAACGGTGGGTAAAAATGTGCTCATAATTTTACAAGTTTAAGTGTGTATTACATACCTGTGTAGTTTTCTTGCCATTCAATAAATAACAACCAAAAACGCCACCTTGAGTTAGAAATGAGTAACTCAGTTGCAGGAAATAAATCGCGAACAAACAAACGTCTTCATCGTGCATTGACATTCTGCAGTGCGCGGGGGTTTTATTGATGGTATTCAACAAGTTTGTCATTCTATATGGGAACTTCTATATGTATCCTTGCATTTGGACCATGGCAAGATAAACAGTGGTAGAAGTCTTCAGATTTCCTATTTTTGTGATGTGCATTCCTACAGGCTCTGTGGCGTTGGGAAAATCCTTTGAAAGTCTTTTTTGAGGTCTGGAAAGTATTTGAGTTGTCTTTAAATTACAGGGGAAAAAACTCTGTGAAGAGTCTTTAAATTTCTTCATAATCATTCATTTGAAAGGCCCGTTTTCTCTGCATAGTCTTTTTTTATAAAGCGTTTTCTACCCCAGTTCTGGCAAGTGTCGGCAGTGATTGCTATCCATGCTCCCGCCCTTCTACCATGTGGTGGTCACTGTCACGTTAATGTATGCGTCGGCACCCGATCTATATCAAAGACTCCCGAGTGAGTGATTTTCAGAAGTTGGCGGCTTCCAGCTACTTCACGTCGAGAGGAGAATAAACGCTCACAATCCCGGGTGAATGCCGTTTCCAGGCAAAGTTATAAAGACATTCCAGTACTAAGCATCATAATAACACAACTCTCATGTTGTTTATAAATAAATCTGCAGTTAATTCAATAACCCCTCTCTGAACATGTCACTTACCAATAAATCAACACTAAATGCCAGAAAATGATTCTCATGCCATTTATAAATAAATCTATAGTTAATTCGACATTCCTTTTCCAATATGTCACGTACCAGTAAATCAGTACTGAACTCCACAATAACAACATAGCTATCATGCCATATATCAATAAATCTACTGTTAATTCGATAACACCCTTCCCAAAATGTCACTTATAGTACAGTAAATCGACACTGAACTCCATAATTACAACATAGCTCTCATGTCATATATAAAAAAAATATGCTTATTACTCGGCATTTCCTTCCAGCATGTCACTTACCAGTAAATCAGTACTGAATTCATTCTATAATAACATAATATCTATCAATAATAAAAAAACATTGATTGATACGTTAGTTTCGACGCCCTAAGATGCAAACAATTTGACCAAATCAAATGGTTCGTCAAAAGTAGAAAAAATGATCATTAAAGGTGTTCTTTTATTAAATAGTATGAATTATGGGATAATACTTGAAATAATCAGTTGTCAATTACGAAGATTCCACATCAGTAAGGTGTGCAAATATGTATGATTTTAATGTTTCTTTTAAGTGACACGCGAAGAGATTATATATGACACAAATATAGAACAAATGAATTACAAAGATAATAGACACACTTATTAAAATAAATCCAAATTATACATAGTATTCTATACGTCTGGTATTATGGTGCATTATCAGATTGAACAATTAAGCATGTAGTCTGAACGCAAAGTTACACGGCTTCAAGTGGATAAGTGCGTCCGCGACGCCATTACCATTCTGTCGCAATGCAGCATGCCACACGTGACTTTTGAAGTATTATGAATTGAGAAGTATGAATTGGAAAGGCCCTTCTCGGCTTCCGTATTTTTAGTTAAACAATTGGTTTCCAATTTGTTCCAGTCCACTAGAATGAGGAATCTTGATAATGGTAAAATTATTTATGAAACTGCTCAAAATGGTAACATCGGACAAAGGATGAGGCAACGTGGGCGACACGTCATTGCAGGTAGACCACTAGGACTGAAAAATATAGAGGATTTTGTGTTGCCAATAAAGGTTAAAACCACGTACGGGTTTCAATGGAGCGAAGTATGGTTCTCCAAACTTGGTTTTGAAGATTGGACACAATTTGAATCGAATTTGTGATATTGCACTAACAAATGCCATAATGGAAAACCATGCTGACACAGTGAAACATGTTGAGTAATTCCAAAGACTTTATAAGTCACAGTAGAGTATTAAACTATCGAAGGCACTATCGGAGATGGCCGCTACAACAAAGCTGGTGGACTACAAAGTGTCAGGAGAAGATGACTAATAAAGCTACACCACTACATTTATGTCAATAAACTTTGACATCAGTTACTGTAAATAATAGAAGACGTAGTGGAGAGGTTTCAACGCTTCTGGTTGAAACATTTGACAAAAGAGATGATACGACTGTAAATGTTGACATTGAGGAACTACTGAGCACAACTGAAGGCAAACTGCTTAAATATTTTACAAAAATCGAAACTAAAGGCAAGAAGAGTTGGAAGGTCCCATTATTGGTAACTCCAACAAAAGTCAAGTTATGGAAATATTGTACAAATCACGAGAATCTATTGATATATTAGTTGATAACCTTACTTTTGTGTAAACCCCAAAAGCATACAGAGAGCGTATTACATAGGGACAGATTGTCTTAGATTACATGCAAATATGTTTGGTGCTGCAAATCCAAAAAAACCTGCGTTTATATCGCGGCCATGTGCCAATTTGTTAACTTAAAATGAAATGTGCTGGAACATTTTGCCAAGTCATGCTGTCCATGAAATCAGGAACAATATGTAAATACAAAGAAAAAAATCTGGATGAAATAGACATCAATCCTGATGGTGAGCATGATTTAATTTCAATAACAAATATTCTTTTTCCCTTATTCAGTGTAATATTCATGGTATGTTTTTCAGTCATATCTGATGCCTCTTTTGAAAATGACAGTCCCTCTATCCCTGGTCTGGAAACGGCTAATTTCTAAGGTGTGAATTACCCGATGTGCTCGGACTGCACTGGGTATGGCTTTCTGCGAAGCATAGTCTCTTGATAGCAGAGCATCCTATTGAAACGATTGATTCATTGTTACCTTCATATTCTAGTTTTTACAACCGAAAATCAAAGAAAGCTTAGAAAGAACTCCCATGTGCTGAGAGTATTTGAGACGCATTAAA